TTGGAACTCTGAATAATTCCCTCCTTTCTAGGTCTTCAGCTACCCCTGCTTCTCAGCAACCTTCATAGTAAAATTCCTCAGGAAGAGTCACGTATACCATTGGTGCTCAAAGTGTGGTATGGAGTTCAGGAGTTGGTGGAGCCTAAACTCTTCGTAATAACACTAGGACATTACTTGCTTTTTTCACTTTCATTTTCTCCCAAGTGTATAGTGGAGTTCTCCAGAAGTTACATGACGAGTGACATGGCACCAGGTTACAAAGCAGAAGCAAATACAAGAATCCAGCTATTACGGAAGATATTAGAGAGATTTGCAAAAATATAAAAATGTCACTCACTAAATATTTTTTATTTTGAAGTTATTTCTCATAAATTATGATACTTATGTTAACATGCAACCGATTTATTATTCTTCACTTGAAAGAAACATATAAAACATTTCTCAGCTTCAATTTCTAATACCACAAATATCCACAGATAACGCCCCAAACAAAAGCTCTCTGAGTCCTCAATTTCACGAGTGTAACGGGGCCTTCAGACCAAAAACTTTGAGAATCATTGGTCTGTTCTCTCAATGTCTCCAATTCTTCTCCTTGCATTCCCTCTCCAACACACTCTAGTTAGGGCTTTCCCCCATTATGTGCCACCAAAATTGCTATGAGCACTAAAGACTTCCCACCTGCTAACTCCAATGGTTAATTCTCAGTGCTCCTCTCACTCAACCTACTGGCTCACGTGCTGTGGCTGATTACTTCCCCCTCCAGGTGTCTTTTTGTCACCCGGCTTCCAGGACACCATACCCAGGTCCCCTATCTCTCTGGCTCCTCTCTTTCTCCCCATTCTCAATGCTGGAGGGCCCAGAGCTGCGTCATCCTTTGAAATCTTCTCTGTGCCCACTCCAGCACCTTGGCCGTCTCTAAATTTGTAGCTCAGGACCAGATCTTGCCCCTGAACTCCACCCTTCCCATCACCTACTCCACCTCTGGACTTGGATTCTAAACAGGCATTTCAAATTTTCAGATGACTAAAACCTAACTTTTTTTTCCAGTCAAACCTGTTCCTCTCAATGTCCTCCCCATCTCATTTGATGAACTCTATCCTTCCAATGGCTTCCAAGGCCAAAACCTCACAGCCATCCTTAAATCCCTTCTCATAACTTACTTTCAATCCAGCAGGAAATCCTGCTGCCTGACTTCAAAATTAACCCCAAACCCAATCACCAGCTGCCCTGCTCCATTGCTCAAAGCCCTCATTCTCTCTCCCCTGGACTAGTTCAGTAGCCTCCCACCTTATCCCCTCACTTGCCCCCCTGTAGTTAACACAGCAGTCACAGTGATCCTTTCAGAGGATCAGATACTACACAGCTGAGAACACACCAATGGCTTTCCATCTGACCCAAGAATAAAAGCCAAAATGCTTCCCATGGCATGCAAGGCCTACTCTAGGTGTCTGTCAATTACTCTTCCAGCCTCTTTCCCTGCAATCTTCTCCCCACTCACTCTATCCCGCCTTCAAGCCTTTATACTGGCTGTCCCCTCTGTCTGGGACGCTTTCTCCAGATCCTTATGACTTACCCCCTCCACTCCTCTTTGCTCAAATGTCACTGTGTCAAGGAGATCCACCCTGATCTCTTCCCCCACCTCCCAGCCTTCTGATCTCCCTTATCCTGCTCTACATTCCCAGAGCGCTTCTAACACATTGCTTCTGTTTATGTCTGTCTCTCCAACAGAACGTAAGCTCCACAACTGCAAGAACTTTTGTATGTTTTATTCACGAATGTATCTTCTGTGCCTGAAATAGTCCCTGGCAATAGTTTCCTAATCAACATACTGAATGAATATATAGAATTTGCTTCTGCATCTATGCAACTCAGTGGGAGGGAGGGAAGTTTGGACCCCACAGTTCCTCCTAACTCCAGCCTCTGATTCTCGAACCAGCCAGCCAAAGCTCATTTGTACCACAACCCATGTGAAGCTTTTGGCACCACAATGCCCAGCACAGAGACCTGGCCCAGGCCCACAATCCTACGTGCCCAGCTCCAACAGGGCAGGGTAGGCTACGGTCAGATAGGCACCAATTGACCAAGTACTGTCCTTATTGGCTGTCAGAGCCTGGGACACTTGGCAGTGACAATGTTCCAAATCTTTTCTGGTCTCAAGGTCACCTATTTCTCCTACCTGAAGGAATCCCTCCTATTTAGCTGAAACTTTTCCCTGCAAAACAGCACCAATCCAAGCGTGGATTTTCAAACGAGAGCCTTGATCTCAACGGGTTGTGACAACCCCATAATCCTAACCCACATTCAGGTCCCTCTTCCAATGACAACCTTCTTCCTACTCCAGCGCAAACATGAATTCTAAGACGTTTTTTAAAAGTGGAAAAGATGAGACAGAAATGGGAAGTGACAGCATGAACTACAATTAAAACACTGTCTGGAGGCTGGCCTGGTGGCGCAGATGTTAAGTTCACACATTCTGCTTCTCTGCGGACCGGGGTTCGCCAGTTCGGATCCCAGGTGCGGACATGGCACCGCTCGGCAAGCCATGCTGTGGTAGGCGTCCCATATATAAAGTAGAGGAAGATGGGCATGGATGTTAGCTCAGGGCCAGTCTTCCTCAGCAAAAAGAGGAGGATTGGCAGCAGATGTTAGCTCAGGGCTAATCTTGCCCCCCTCCCCCCAAAAAAACCACTGTCTGGCCAACCCTTTTTGAGCTCTAACATGGTATTACCCCACACCTACCTTTAGGGAGCTCTATTCTCTTACTCATTGGGCAGTAGGACAAACTGGTTTGGCACCTGGAATGTACTCAATAAATGTTCGTGGAATGGAAGAATTAAACCTAGTAACTCATTCCAGAAGTAAGTTCACAGAGAACATGACAGATGTAACCAGGCTCAACTCAGTAGTAACCATCTCTGAATAGAAATCTGAGGGTAATGAAGGCAAAAGGCGGGACTAAGAACCCCACAGGTCCTGGAGGGCTCTGTGCGCTCCGTGCCGAGCCTCCTTCCTTGTGATCACTGGGATCAGCACCACCTCCCACCACCTTATCTCAAGGCTTCAGTAAAACATACAAGTAACATTATTTCCAGCTTGCCACATCGATATTAAGAAAAAAAGGAGGGCGGGGGCTGGCCTGGTAGCACAGTGGTTAAGTTCGCACGTTCCGCTTCTTGGCGGCCCAGGGTTTGACAGTTCAGATCCCAGGTGTGGACATGGCACCGCTTGGCACGCCATGCTGTGGTAGGCATCCCATGTATAAAGTAGAGGAAGATGGGCACGATGTTAGCTCAAGGCCAGGCTTCCTCAGCGAAAAAAGAAGAGGACTGGCAGTAGTTAGCTCAGGGCTAATCTTCCTCAAAAAAAAAAAAAAAAGGAGGGTGAAGGGGGCCTATGACTAAGATATTCCTGCCCTTAAATTATTAGGGTATTGCGCAAATGACTTAACCCCTTGCAGGGTTGCGCAGGTGAAACAAAATGGTACATGAGGAAATACCTAGCATATATGGTAGTCAATGTTCTTTTCTTTCCCCTGCCCACAAAACAAGGCTGGGGATTTCTGCTAAGGAAAAGAATTCAAATCTGACCAACAGACTAGCCAGCATTTGTGTCTACTGCCATCAATCTCCACTATCTATCACTTTCTTTCTTCCGATTCCACACGTGGCCAGTTGTCTTGCCAATCCTCTGCCCTGAAGATCTAGGCACTCATCTATCCTCAGCGCTACTCACAGGTTCAACAACCCTTACTGGTGTGAATAAAATAACTGGGCCAACTGGTCTCCCAGTCTGCAGGCTTTGGTTCAATTTAACTTGCACATGCACACGTTCAACTTCTTAACGCTGCTTGTTGTGCTCTGTCTGCAGACGGCTCCCAAATGCCTATGAAGTTAAGGTCAAATTCTAGGGCCCCAAGTTTCACCTTATTTCTGATCTCATTTCTTTTGTGCACACCTCAGACTGGTCTAACTCAGCTACTGCTGCTGCTCCTGGTCCACACTTTGGGATTCTCCACTTCAGCTCTGTCCACTCCTCTGGCAGGTCACTGTCCTCCCCGATGATCATGTGTCTACATTCTTCACTAACCCAAATTGGTGCAGTCTCTCAAATGTGCTAGGCTCCCTCTGGCTTCAGGTCCTTTGCACAGGCTGGTCCCTTTACCTGGAATGTTCCACACTACCCCCAAATCCCTACTCTTGCCTCTGGGCACCATCCCGTGAAACGTCAATTTCCCTTAATATCTCTTCTCCTTCGTTGTAAAGCAACCATGGTAAATATTGATTAATGCTTCTCTCCTTGATGAAGCTGCAGAATTCACGAGGATGGGCAGGTTTCTGATTTTGCTTACCATTCTTATCCCAGAGCCTAGTACAGTACTTGACAAACGAAAGACCACAATAAATCTGTTAAATAAGCAAAGACTCCCATATAATATTCACTCATATTGTCTGTGGTATCTAAAATGGAGAAACCACTGGATGCCTAAAGTAGGAGGATGGTTACATTATGGCACATATAATGGAATGTCAATTATTGAAAGCCATACTCTCAAAGTATGACATGGGGAAATGCTCAGATCACTGTTGAAAGAACAGGAAATAAAACTGTGCCTAACTACAGCATAACCTAAACTATATAGAATTGGATGTTTGAGTAGGAGAGAGACAATTAGGGACAGCGTTTATTCTCTGAAAAAAATTGTCCATACCTCCTTTGCACATTTTCTATGGTAAACATTTACTAATTGATGAGAAAAAGCATTTCTAAAAAACTTTGACTTGACTCAAATGCAATGTCCACTCAAAACTTCTCTACTATTCCTACTCCTACTTACGCCATCCCGCATGCCTGCTCATCGAGACTTCGGGGGATCTTTAAAGACAAGCACTTAGTTGTTTCCAACTCTGCATTCCCCCCAGCTCCACAGGGCCCATGCCAGGGCCCGGGACGAAGAATCCAGTCCAGGAAGTGTGTATGCAGAACAAAAAGAGTATACTCACCTAGTTTAAAAACACCCAAGATGCTTTGCCCTGAATGTTAAGCAGCACATGTGACCTGGTCCATTCTGGTTTCAAGTTCAAAGGCATCAGGCCGGTCCTGCGGGTTAGCAGCTAACATATCTTTCAAGAGCTGCTTGATCCCCTCAGACATGGAAGTCCTGCGTTTCTGGGGGATGTGCAACTCCATCTTTGGGTTTTCTAGCAGCGCCTCACCAACAGGGACGATTTCGGTCCCTTGTTTGATATAGGTTCCCAGGAGCTCCTTCTTGGTCTCAGAGTCAATGAAAGTGATTCTTTCTATCATTGCCCAGATGATAATGCCCAGGGCAAAGATGTCAGCCTTGGCTGTGTAGTGTCCCTCCCAGACTTCAGGGGCCATGTAGAAGTCTGAGCCGCAGGCTGAGGACAGCCAGTATTTATTCACATTCACATTTTTGTTGTCTTGATTGCCCTCTTTGCCTCGGGGGGCCAGCCCAGCACACACCTTGCTTAGTCCAAAGTCTGCCACCTTAAGGACAGGGGTGCCAGAGCGCTCCGTGATGAGGATGTTGTCTGGCTTTAGGTCCCTGTGCACGATGTGGTTTTTGTGCAGGAAGGCAATGGCGCTCGTGAGCTGTAGCATGAAGCTTTTGTTGGTTGCTGGGTCTGGCCTCCGGGACAGGACGTACTGATTCAGGTCTCCACCTTCACAGAATTCCATGACAAACCAGAGATAGCAGGGCTCTTCGGCATAACCCAGGATCCTTTCTCCTACAGCAAAGGAAGACAGGAATGAGCTCAAGTGAGACAGACACACTCATGCCACTTTTAGGCCAAAGGAATGCAGCGTATTAAAGTAAGTGACAGTGGTGATGACTGCTCCAATCCAAGAGGACCAGCACCACTGGCACTGAGCCAACTCTACACAAGTAAGTCCATCCATTTCTACCCACACAGGATGAGTCAAGGTATAACAAATAAGGTACGACACAGGCTGCAGGGGCTGGTGGCAAGCACCTGGGTAGTTACTCTGGTTTACCGCTGACCTATTGAATACCCAGGAGGCAACTTAGTTCACCTTTCCAAGTTTCTACTTCTGCTTCTTCACCTGTAAATGGCCACATGTCACCACTTATGGAGTGTCCACACGAGCACGTGACATTCAGTTTAATATTTACCACCTTAGAAGTAGGAGGAAATAGAGCCATCTTATAAAATGAAGAAGCTGAGGCTCACAGAGTCTTAAGAGTTAAGACACTCAAATCTGTCTGATGGTGAGCCACTGTGTTTCATTATCTACTGTCTCCAAATAGGCAGCACCACACCACCCCTAACTCCCAGGCTGCTGATGGGACAAGGGGAAGCATGGGAGAAGACTGTCAAATGGCTGCTACTCCACGCCAGGTAAATGACCTTCCCTCCCTTCCTTCCTGACTGGTATAATGGTTCTTGTCATCTAGAACGGCACTACAATTTTATTCCAGAGGCACATTCCAACTCATCAGTATTTTCTGTTAGCCCACCATATGCCTAGCACAAGTTTGGAACATAACATGCCTGTCTCTATGAAGCTTAGTTTCAAGGAGCTAACAGTATCTGAAACAGCAAGCATCATAAGCTGTGCATCTGCACCAAAGTCAAGTTTTATGAACAGAGAAAGGTGGGTAGCACTTGCCAGATCGAAAGAAGCCAGAAGGGCAGGAATTGTAGAACAGACAGCAGATTAGAAGGGAGAAGAAAGCAGGCTGAGAGATGCAAGGGGTAAAACAACTCAGGAACAAATGGACCAGAGAGGAAGAGGAAGTCTGGTGGGAACCCTGGGGTCTGAAGTGCTGTGTAAGGTGAAACCAAGTTGTGGGGGCCTGAAATTCCAGCTCTGCCTTTCCAAGTGTTTCCTTTTGAACCACAGAAAATCACCAGGAAAGCTGATGATTGGCATGTCCAAACAAATCCCAATATTCTTTATAAAACAATTAATGGCACACTGACCCCTTACATGAAGTCATTTGATGACTAGAAGTGTCCCAAAAGCTAAGCCTAAGCAGGCAGATGCCTTATTCTGCTGATGAGGAGGCTGGGCCTGCCCTGGGTGGTCACGTGAATCACTCATGACTGAGCCAGGGCTTGAAAAAAAGTCCTCTGATCCCCATGATGGTATCTCCATTCTACCAAAAATGAGGGGTGCAGCTGCTCATACAGCCTCTGCCACTAATTGACTTTTACCAGTCATTCACTCTACTCCATTATGAAGAACTGGTGACCCGGATGATCCCTGCTAACCCAAATGGCCCTGAAATTACCAAGGCACACAGTCTACCAAAGGCCATGGTTTGGGAGTTCTGGATTGGGGAGAGAAGACGTCTAGACAGATGAGGCAAAAGTTTTAGGTTTTTGACCACGATCTGACAGATCTCACTTCTCCTGTAATTATATAATTTGTTTGTTTCTATTACTCACAATCAAACTAATACAGTAGACCCAGTTTAGGGCAAATGGGTTTTTTTTTTTTTTTAAATCAGTTGTTTCCTATCTCATAATCCTCTTTCTAGGTCACTGGCTCTATTGGGCTGAGAACCTTTATCTAAAAACACTGCAAAAATGAAGTGGTGATCTGAAACCCACACCAGTCTAGACCCCAGAGTAAAGACTCAACAAGGAGGGCAAGAAATGTTTGCTGGTGGGAGAGCCAGAAAGGCAACGATCCGCAAGCCATCAGATTCCTTCTGCAAAGGCCACATCCGAAAACTGAAACTTTTTCACTGAAACAGTGGGGAAATAAAGGGTGGGGAATGGTGGTGATTTTATACACAAAGTTGGTAACTATGGCAACTGAAGTAAAAGGAAAACAAGTCTGCAAAACAGACGACAATCTGAGTCCAGGTTATGAGAATCCAGGGAAAGAGAAAAAGGGTAACAGAAAAAGTGCCCTGAGTTAGTGAGTGGGTGGGACAGATGGGGCCCGGGCCGGAGGAGCTTGCTCAAGGGAGTGAGCTAAGCTCAGGAGATGCGAAAGGAGGGGCTATTTGTGGAGAGGAAAGCACTGGACAGGAAGAGGCATTCTCAGAGTCAGAAACAGCATCAGTGAGCACGACAGAATGGTTGACTGGGGAACGAGGCCACTCATCCCAGAGACAGAAAGGACTTCTTTGCACACACAGGGCCTTGGGATTGCTTCAGGAAAAGGTGCAGCATCTATGTTCCCACAGGAATCCCCAGCTGCCCATTAAAAAACATAAGAGGCATGTGAGAATTCCAGTCCTTTCCTTGCAAGATGGAGGGAGAGGAGGTGGCACTCAATGCATTCCTGTCAAGAAGCAAGCCAGGATGAAGTTAACAGGAGCAGAGACCAGAGGCAAGGAGTCTGGGTTTAGACCTCTGCCTTGCCCACTGGTTTACTGCATAGTTTCTTAGTTCAAAGGAAAACATGGGGAGACTGAGGCATGATGGAAAGATGGCTAGAACCTTGGGCAAGTCACCGAATCTCTCTGAGCCTCAGTCTTGTTAAGTCACAGGCATGAAATACATTTTGCTGACTGTAAGATACTTGGGGGAACCACATCCTGACCCATCACTAACATCACCATTCCCACCGGACCCCAGTTGAATCCCAGGAAGTCACTGATTTCAATAATCCCAGTGCTGTGGGCCATAGGATAAAGGTCTCACACATTAGGCAAAAGATGAGATTGAAATCAGAAAATGAACGTGGATGATTACATTACACTTCTCAGGCTGTAACAGCCAAAACCCATGTTCTAGCCAGATCGGGCCACTTTTATTTGAAGTGATCTCTACCTAAAAAGAGACCCTCCTCCCCCAATCCCTGCAGGCATGTCTGAATGTGCACCTTAGGGACCAGCTTGAACGCCAACCCACCTGACACTTGCCTGATTTCCCAGCTAACTGCCCTCTTCTGACCAGCTAAGGCTCTATCTTATGCTTTACCAAGGTGACTGTGCACTGGGGAAGGGAAAGCGGTCAAACTCTCAGGGCTTACCAAATACTGGTTCTGAAATGACACTAATTCCTGGAAACCCAAATGTCACTGTGGTCCACCTGTCAGAGGAGGGCCTTATGGTGATCGAGGTCAGGTGATCAGTGGAGCTTTAGCTCAGGTCCACCCCACAGGGCCCAGCAGGTCACTGAAGCCACCCTGTGGTTACTTCCCCAGTTTCAGGATGTATCATTGGAGTAGACACATGCAGCAAGAAGGATCCTCACGTGAAGTTTACAGTTTTTTGGGCCAATAGAAACAAAATTTACTTAGGTTTTGTAACCCCGTTGTTTGGTATAATCTGACAGTTCCACGAGATTAGTAAGAATTAAAAATTTAGCTTCCCAGAGGGGGAGAAAACAGTGAGTGTGTTATCTGGAGGTGATAAGGATTTGAGGCAAATAAACGTAGAGAGCCCACTGGGTTCCAGGCACTATTTTAAAGGCGCAGTATGTGAGCTATCTCATCCCGCTGGACACTGTTTTATAGGTGAGGAGACTAAGGCTGGGAAAAGTAAGTAACTTGCCCAAGACCACTGCCATGAGCAGCTGGGTAGTTGCGAACCTCCAGGCCAAGTCCTCCCACCAGACAGTGCGATCTCTCAGGGGGCTAAGAAATGGCACTCTGATTCAAGAGAGGCAAGCCCACCTCCAGGAGAGTTTTATTACCTTTCCCTCAAGTCTGATAACCAGGAGACCATGAAACAAACTCTGTATTTCAAAACATATTCTATGCCACAACTCACAGGGAGACAGAGAAAATGAAAAAACAAAAATATCAAGCAGGTGCCCCGCATCTCCTTACTCACAGGAATAAGCAGTGTTGAAGTTGTCCGACAAAGTGGGGCCTGCTTTATTCAGAAACTTGAGGCCGCAGGCCTGGCACGAGGATAAGTCAGTCTGGGCGGAGGAAAGGCAGGCATCTCGTGGAAAGGGATACAAGATACCCAGCATTTTATGGGCCTAATCCCAAGCCTCCTCCAGAAGTTGGATCTCCATGCTCTCCTCACTTCCACTGAAGCATTTCCCGAGGGCACAGTGCTTGACACACACCAGAGATGAGATGCCAAGTGGTCTCTGCCCTTATGAAGGTTTCTGGTCATTAGAAGCAGAATGACTACAGTTATGAGAACCAAGAATAGGGCACAGTTCAGCCTGAGGAGCAGGGACAGGTGGTCAGGATGAGAGAAAGGCAGGCTAAGAATCACTGCCAGAGTGGTGGCCCCTGAGCTGTGTCTCCCAGAACGAAGAGAGTGGGCAACAGCACAGGGGGTTTGAGCTCGCAGACAGGGACCCAAGTAATCTGGGTGATCGCAGAAGAGATGTAGTAGGAGATAAGCAGAAATGAGGCTAGAGAGGAAGACGCTGGAGTCAAGTCACAAGAAATGGTGTTTGTCAGACTAAGGATCTGAACTCAGACTAAGAAATGGGAAGTGGGGGCTGGCTCTGTGGCCGAGTAGTTAAGTTCGCGCACTCCGCTGCCGGCAGCCCAGGGTTTCGTTGGTTCGAATCCTGGGCGCGGACATGGCACCATTCATTGAGCCTCAGTGAGGCGGCGCCCCACATGCCACAACTAGAAGGACCCACAACTAAGAATATACAACTATGTACCAGGGGGCTTTGGGGAGAAAAAGGGAAAAAATAAAATCTTAAAAAAAAAGAAATGGGAAGTGACTAGAAGTTCTTGATATATTTTAGAAAGATATACTGTTTATTGAATCGAAGAAGTCATCTATTTTAAGACACAACATTTAAGAACAAAATACAGGCTATTGACA